CAGGATGCAGATGCAAGGCTCATGGGGTGCAGTAGGTGGAGTTCTACTATAAAAAATTAAAATAACCCCGTGCAGCAAAAGCTATCTCAAATCTTTCTCTGGAGCGTCCACAGAGAGGAGAGGGTCAAGCATGCTACTCCATTTGAGCTGGAAAAGGGTCTGTGCTTTTGCCATGTGGTTATTGGGTTGATTTCTCTGTGTTGTTTGTGAGCAGGGACTGGGGACAGTGGGTAGGGAGAGTGTCAGCGGGGTTAGTGTCAGCAACAGATGCTGCCATACATACCACCCAGATGCAAGTCGATGAGGTCACTGTAATAAGACTCTCCCCAATAGTCTACAACAAGGAATTGGTGAAGAGAGAGTTATTCAATCAGATAACCCTCCTGTCCCCCCATACCCAAAGCAATCAGTGACATGCAGCCTAAGAAACCCACAGAGATACAGCAAGAGGGCAAAAAGAAGCAGCTGGGGAGCGTGCATCATGTGTCCACGCATGTGCTGGATCTGTTCACCTTGTGCTGTAGGGGGGGGGACCAAGTAAAAACCCCTGATGACGAAGTTGACAGCCAGCATCAATGATTCCTCTTTCTACCTCGGATCTGTTAGCACAGAAGGCTTTGGCTTTGTTGGGAGCTCTGATCCTGCTGGGAGGGAGCCTTTTCTTACTAAGAAGTCTTAAGAAAGTTCCAGGGCACATCAGGGGCTACTTACTCCCTCAGTCACTAAATTATCAGAAGCCACAGGTTGAGGGATGGAGGCAAGATGTAACCATCCTGAAAAAGCTCTGCAAGGACAACCAACCTCAGGTTTAAATGCAGTCAAAGAAGTTCCAAGAATTCATACCAGTGACCCTGCTGGAGAATGTGCCAAACTCCTTGCAGAACCCCTTATGCTGGATGGGTTTGAAATGAAGGAGATCCTATTTCTTCTGAGCTTTAGGTCTCCAACTTCAGCCAGCCTTCTCCTTGTGACAGGAAATGAGCTGTGACCTATGCGAAGTTCTTACCCTGTGACTACTTGCCCAAAGGCTCTTGGAGGTCTGCTGGCCACTGGCACTCCTTGACTTTCAGCTCCACGTGGCTGCCCAGCCAAGACCTTAGTCCTTCACGCCTGAGATGCAAAGATTGGGCCCTGCTGAGGGGCTGAGCTCGGGTGGGCAGGCCTTATCTCCCCAGAAACAAAAACCGGCAGAGCACAACAAAATTGGCTGCTACTGTGTTATTCTTCTTCCAAACCTCACAATCTGAATGCTGATCCTGGCAGGCTTTTGTTCACAGGAGGCTTCCCCCTTCAAGAACAAACACTCAGAAAGTAGAAAGCAATCCTGCTATGGCTTCTGACCCATGCTCAAGGCTGATCCCACGGTTTTAAGTTTGAATCAGGGTTCCAGCAACACAAAAGGCTTCCCAGATATCCCTGGACCAGAAATCATCTAAGTCTTGGTCTTTCCCTGGGCTCTAAGGCTTCACAATTAATCCTTCTGGTCTGTTAGGTAAACTGAGATGAACAGAACGGCAGGCTCATATCAGACCTCTCCTTCGGAAGGGCAGCTTGGCTGACAAAGTCTGACCCCCTCAGACAGCGACGGAAGCTTGAGACCAGCAAGCGAGACAGAATGGCATGTTCCAGCCAGTTCAGGACAGCCCTCAGGGAGGGGCTGGCTAGCACTGCTGGATGACCCCAGATTGCCACGCTCAGCTGAGGCTCCCCTTTCAGGGCTCAGCCAGTGCAGCGAGACGAAAGAGACATGGAGTGCAGAGGTGGAGAGAATGGAGCAGCCAGGGTGCACATGTTGGCTTCAGCGACGGTATCTGCCAGGTAGGAGCGGGGCCACTGGGAATCCTGACATCAGACCAGCCTTGGAAGTGACGTATTGAAATCGGAAAAGGAAAATAATGTACTTGGAAATACAGTCTCATGGTGGGAGCCACTATGTCCTGAGAATTTCTCAAATGCATCATGGGGAAATATCCCCCACAGCTACCACAGCTCACCCTTAAAAACAGAGCAGACACATCTTCAGACAGAGACATTTTGGTGAAGCCTTGCCTGAAGGAAGGAGTCTGGACTAGGACAGTGGTTTTCAAACTGTGGGAACCCAGGGTTCTTCAGAAGGCACTCCAGGGGTCTCCCAAATACCTGATTTACAGATACTGTTAACTCTTTTAAAAAGTTATATAAGACCTGCCACATTCAAATATTTTATATGCCAACTTTTAACGCACCGAAGGACATCAACACATTAATTTGTGCTGTCAGGAAAACTTGCTTTTGTGGGGCCCTCAGTATCAAGTTCCAAACTCCCTGTAAATGTGTTAATGAAGAGGAAATTAAATTAATTAATTAGCATATCCACTTAAATTCTGGCCTGCAAGCAGAGTGTACATGTGCCGTTGTTGAGGGAACGTCCGAGAGCCACAGATGGTGAGGTGCCCGCCGCTCATGGCAAGCTCCTGTCGGCATGGTCCTTTAGATGGGTAATATGGCATATCACCATATCATAGCACAGGTTGCTTTTTTGTTTACTCTGTATTTGGGAGTTTCTTGTCTGAGGTTTGTTCTTTATAAGGATTATAAACTGCTGCTTCATTTGTTAGTTATTCGATTGTGAAAAAAATGCTATCGCTCCAGCGCTACACTTCCAACATCTGTGTCGCTGAAACTGCAGACATCCTGAGATTTCTACATAAGCTGTTAAAAAAAACTGTAACCATTTATAGCAACTACCTCTGTGTATTGGGATGTACTCAACACTGTGCCCCAGGAACGAACTGGATGCTGAGGCTTATTAACATCTGCAGCTGTCTACTATAATCTGTACTTTCAAATTTGTGTTAACATTTTACAGTAATTCTTTTTTATTTTAAACTTGAACTTGTAATTTTGTAAAAAGGGTTCTGCTGCTAAAAAGCAAATTTAAAAACCACTGACAGATGAATTTGTGTTACATATGCTTATAAAAATTATCTAAACAACTAGAAAGAAGAATTTTGGCAAAATCCTATGCCAATCTTCCATGGTAGTTACTTTCTAGCCTTTTGGCGGCAGCTTGAATGACACACCCTGTTCTAGAGGTGTTGAAGCACTGTCTTAGACTCCAGCCGCACGGCGGCCCACAGGGCTCGAGTGCTTTACAGAAAACATCACTCCAGTGGCCACCCCCTGAACCTGAGAACTTCCTCCTCCTTAACCATGAAACACAGATGTACATGCCTGCTGGGTTATGCTGATGATGTGCTGAGAGGCCTGTCCATCGTTTCCTTCTTGGAAGTAGTAAGGAGGAGGATAAGAAAGATAAGGAGGAGGAGAACGGGCCCAGACTCCCTCCTGATATCTTCTGCAGGAAGAGAAAAGCCAAAAGGGCAGGGCCCTGGGGTCCAGATGGAGCCAGGCCCAGGGCATCTCCAGTGGGTTGGGGGTCAGGCGTAACAGAGAAGGCCATGTTAGAACCTGCTGGGCAGGGAAAGCAGGGCCCACTGGATGGTGGGGATGTCACAGGTTCACTGGGAAGCCTGGGACCCTTTGAGGTGAACCCAAATTTCCACTGATTGACACGGGAGTCAGCCAGTTTGCCTTGAAGTAAGACATCCTCTTGGCTTACCAGTTGCTAAGTGGTTCAAATGTTTGCATTTCCTTGGGTGGCTTGGGCTTTGAGCATTAAATCCAACATCGGGTGAGGCACAGACCAAGAGATCCACGTCATCTTCCTCCCTCATCCCATCTTTTTACTGAAGGTCATCACTGAGTCACTGATTTCTAGGCCTTAAAGGGCCTGGAAAAGGAGAGCTACTTCTATGCCTGACCCCCTACTACCCCCCACGTGAACTTCAGTCTTACAGAACCACAGGGATCCGTCCCGACGTCAGGCACACACCATAAGGTCAGCTTTCAGCCGATTTTCCAGCAAGACCGGATGGCAGCAGCTGACTGTGCTCCTGGCTGCCTCTTACTGGTTCTCCTTCAGTTTCACCGCCTGTGGCCAGTGCCCCACCCCACTCCTCTCTGCCCCACCAGAGTCAGGCAGTAAAAAAGAGGCCACCACCTTTCCTCATCCTTAGCCTTGCAATTAGAATGCTGAACCTGTAGGCCTCATGCTCTCTTTAAGAGGTGGAGGTTTCGCCATCCAGACACTGGACCGAGACTCGTGGGCACTTGAGAAAGCAGAGATCATTCCCTCTAGGCCTCAGCCTGGGGCTGGCCAGGTGCATTCATGGCCCTGAACCAATAGGACTTCCTGGGTCTTTGGGCCAGAGCTGACTCAGTGGCTCCTTGGCTTCTCTGCACCTAGCCTTGCTGCACTCAAACCCACAGGTTCCTCAGGTGGGACAGTGGGTGTGACCCTACTGCGCCCTAAGCTCTTCCCTGACGGGGCAGTATCATCAGCCGCATGGCCTGCGCTGCCACTTGCCAGTGTCTGCTCGTGCTGGCTCCTCACAGCCCCCACACTCTCCAGCCCTGCCCTGAGTGAGGGCCTTCAGTGGACACAGCACCTAGGCCTGCCCCAGGAGCTCCCCTAAGGGGATGGAGGGTGCTGGGCCCGAGACCTCAGGTGCTCACTACAGCTTGGGCAGGGGGTGGCCTGTGGGGAGCAGGCTGGAACCTGCTCAGTGCAGTTCTGTGATGGTTCCTTGTGCAGTCTCCCTCGTTCCCAGGCGTTTTCTCCCAGAGAAAACGACGGGGTGGGAAAGGAGGAGGAGGAGAAGCCCGGTGCATGCCCTCAACAGGTGGCGTGGACTGAGGCTTCATTCTACAGGGAAATGGCACGCTGTACGATGGGGCTGAGGAGCAGGTGCGGACCACAGGGCTGCCCCAAATACAAGTGCTTTTCTTTCCTTTTGCTTAACAGGAAGCCCCAAATCTCAGAGATGAAGGGACCCAGAAAATCCTGCTGGAAAAGGAGCTGAATTCCACCTGAGGTGGTGCGAAACTAACCTACCATGGTGGGGAGGAAGGGCTTTCCTTCAGGAACAAAGCTCCTCACACACGAGCCCAGACAGTACCTGCTTCTCCACGGAGCGCCTTCTCCACGGCCACACCTCGCTCCTCCAGCTGCCGCTGCTTCTCCTCCACCTGCTCCAGCTGCCGCTGGATAATCTACCCAAAAATACACAGTGTAAACACCCAGCTCTCTCTCCTATCTCCAGCTTTCAAGAGGAAAACTAAACTGCACAAACACAAAATGGTAGAAAAATAAATGTAAAAATGCCGGGAAAGGCTCCAGTCCGTGGGCACTATACTCAGAGCACGGTGCCAAGGCTGCATCTGAAGTCCCCAGGCCTGCTGCTTGTGCAGGCTCCAAGCCTCTGGGAGCAAGCACCAAGGTGTGCGGGGCAGTTCATGTCATGACCAGCCCCTGCCCAGAGCAGCTCAGGACAGTGAGCAGATGTGAACTCCCACAGGAAGGATTTAAGCACTATAACCTCAGACCTCTCCTAGGGCAAGACTGCTAAACCACTAGAAGAGGTTCTTGGAGAGTACAATGGAAGTCTTGTCTCTACAAATTAAAAATTATAGAGAAATCTAGAATGGTCTAGGATCTGAGGCCTGAAGGCAGGGGATGACTGGAGGGCAGCTCCGACCTCTTCCCACAAAAGCCCAGGCCCTTTGGAGGCCAACTGCCAGACTCCTGACCACAGTTCTCACAACCAAACCAGTTGACTTCACAAAGATCACTTGAAACCAAGGAATTTAGGGAACATGAAACTTGGCTCCCCCTTTTTTACCAACAGCTCCACAAGCGGGTCCCTTGCAGCAGCCTCAGGCAGGGGCACCGTGGGGTTGTCATCATGGACAGCAGGTGCCTGCCTAGCTCTGCCCCTCCTTCCCCTTCCCCGGATGTGCTGCTGCTGGGTTCCCTCTGTGTGTGCAGTGGCCCCACCCTCTGTGGTGTCACCTGGGCTCGGTGCAGCCGCTTGAGCTCCTCTTGCTTGGCCTGCCTCCGAGCTGCCTTCTGCACGCGCCGGGTCAGCTTGGCATTCAGTTCCTCCTCTGTGTAGGTTCTTGGCTGGAGAGAACAAGAGAGATATCTCAGGCAGGTGCATGCAGGCCTGCAATGGGTTTGGGTGGCGAGCTAGCAGAGGCACAGAGAAGACTGTCCCCTAAGTTGGAGCTGGTGCCCGACAGACAAGCCACCCCCTGCTGAGCACTGGCAGCACAGACGGGCACGAGATGTGCAGCTCAGCCAAGGACCTCCCAGCCACTCATTCCTACTAGAGCCCTAAATGCCACAGGGCACACCTAAAGATCCACAGGACAAGACGTTTCTCCTCAGTGACAAGAAGAGAAGGCTGAGTGGGGACATATGCTCCTTTCTCACTGACATCACTTGTTTCCTATGTAAGGATGTGCATTCTTCCTAAGACTTCGTGGGGGTAAAAATATTGGTAAAATGTTTCTCCAGGCCTCCTGCTTCTAGGAGGCCTACAGGGAAAGGAAAAGGAAAACAATCATGACCTTTTTATTTTCTTGTTTGGTATCAAAAGCCACTTTCTTCAGATGAGTGGTGATCATAACGTTTTTTAAAAAGTAACATCTGAGGGCCGGCCCAGTGGCACACTGGAGAGTGCGCCGCTTGGGAGCGCGGCGGTGCTCCTGCCGAGGGTTCGGATCCCATGTGGAGAACAGTTCCCGCTCACCGGCTGAGCGTGGTGCGGGCGCGACACCGAGGGTTGCAGTCCCGTTGCCGGTCAGTAAAAAAAAATACAAAAAAAAAAAAAAAAGAAAAAAAAGTAACATCTGAAATACAGCAAGTGGAGCTGCTTCTGTTTCAAGTCAAACTAACCACTACAGTCTGAAGAAGGAGCTAGGAGGCGAGCCGGGACCGACGCTGTGGGCTGCGGAGGCCACCACCAGCTGCTGAGGGGAGTGCCCAAGCCCCCTGCAGATGTAGGCGTGCAGGGCTCGGGGAGTATTGGGTGCTTTGAATGAACACCGTGTAATCCCAGAGAAGCAGAGGTTGGGGGGGTTTGTCTTTATTCATAAGACCCTCTCTTGCCTCTAAGAATGCAGAACAAGGAGGCTTTTACAGACGTGGCAGGAGACTTCCAAATTCAACTGAGGGGAATGTACTCAAAATCTCTTAGAGCTCAAATGCCAGCAGAGGGTCAAGTGATGAGGCCAGGGCAGTCATGAAGGATCGCCAGTGGCATTTCAGTGTCTTGGCCGTTGCACTGTGCAGATCACAGAGTGGAGGGCTGGTGGGCTCCCCATCTGTGGTGCCAGTCCTGCAGGGGCTGCTCTGTTACCCCTCTGGGCACCTGGGGGCAAAATGACCATATGTGCTCCAGCCAGTGAAGAGCAGGTGTCTCATCCTCCTTGTCTCAATGACACAGCTAAAGAAAGTCCTGCTGCTGTGTCTGCTACAGCTCATGCACATCTGCAGTTAGTGAGGATGCGGCTGGAGGGCCGGGCGGGCTGCTGGGGTTAATCACAGACAGGCATGCAGCAGGGACCAGCCAGTGGGACGAGACACTACCTTGGATGCACATGATCTCCCGAATGCCAAGGCGTGTGGTACAGAAATCGACTTTTAAGGGGATGGCAATGGAAAACAAAACAGAATAGTAATAATAATAATAATGATTAAAAAACTAAAAATAGAACAGAGAAATGTAGCAAAATCAGTCAGAGTTTAAAATAAACACATAAGACTTAAAACACACACTTATTTTTCACAGTATTACACAGGACTGCACACGGAGGAACCTGGGTGTAAGGACCCCAGCAACGGCATCTTAGGGAACCCGTTTTGAATAAGGCCGGGGTTCACTTTTCTACTGACTGAGGAGACACAGCTTCTTCCTCACCATCCCCAAATCTTCTCATCGCTTGCTCTACCTGTGTTTAAGTTAAAACCGTTGAATATACGAGTATAGACGCTCTCTCCCCTTAGTCACCTGTTTGCTATGGAAATTTAGACACCTCTTCCCGCTGGAAGCTCAGGGGTGACTGATGGAGGGCTGGTGGGGGGAGGTTTCTGTTGTCAGAGACAGACACAGGCACAGAGCAAAACTGAGCATCGTATCTAACATTCTCTCCTAAAGGCTCTCTCCTGACCGTGGTCCTGGACAGGGCCACAGGGGTTCAGTGTGCCACCCAGCTGCCCTGGGACAGGGGATGGGGGCCTTTCTTTCTATACACGGTGACGGGAAACCGAAACAGCATCAACAACTGCTCTCCACCAACGTGTCTTGGGTGTGGTGCTGACCTCTTCCCGCTCCACCAAGCCTGGAGCACAGCGGCTCAGAGTGTCCAGGGAGTGGCAGGCTTGCTCTTCTGGTCTCCTGCCAGCCATATTCAACAAGAGAGGGGAGGGGATGCAAGGTGGGCTGGTCCACAGGACAGGGGGTTCTGAGGGCCTCGGGATGGACAGCAGGCCCTGCTGCTGCTCTGCCCATCAGTGGGGACCAACGTCCCACAAGTGGGTCGGCCTGGAGGAGAGCAAGATGCCTCGTCCCACCACGCGCACACACAGCCTGCCTCGGCCTGACTCACCCGGCTACACATCACAGCCAGAGGAAGAACTGCATTGTTAGAAGAAGCCGATTAACAAAAGGAAAGGGCAGACGATTTCCCCAAGCAGCATGTAAAAACTCCACAGGGACTACATGACCACAACCTAAGGAACGTCTTTACCTGTGTCTAAAGTAAAAATTAAAGGCAGCGGGGCAGCAGCCTCCTTCTCCAAATGCACTGATTTCTGGAGCTGGTACCAACTTGGGAGAAGCAGCGCCAGAGAAGGGAGGTCACGATGCATCTCTGGCGTGCCTGAGCACGGGTGTTAGCAAAGGTGGCCGCAGAGGGCCACAGTGGCCAGGAGGTGACTGCTGTATGTAAAGTCACCAGGAAGCAAGGAAAAGAGGTACAGGCAGGTTACTTCTTTCTTGTTGGTAGGGCTACAGATGATTAAAAAAACCCATATTACCTTAATTTTTAATTATTTATAGTAAAACTTTAAATAAAAGTAAGTTATTTTTAGTGTTTTTTTCCCTCTAACAAGACAAAACCCAGGCACGTGTACTGCAGAGCCTGGCCAACGAGAGCAGCTGTCTCCTCCACCTGTGCTGCCACCGTGGCCCCACAGAGGGTCTGGCCTGGGCAGCTGGAGGTTTCCTTTCGAGTCAAGTCTTTCTCACTTTAGGGCCCATTGGTCCCCAAACTTATTCTGAAAAATTCCAAACTTACGGGACAGTTGAAAGAGGAAGACAATGAACAGCTGTATGTATACCTTTCACCTATATTTTTATGCCAAACGTCCATCAAAATGTTATGTATCCATATGTAATCTTTATATATAATCTTTTTCTTCTCTGAATCACCGTAGACATCATGATCCTTCATTCCCCCAAATTTTGGCATGTACTTCCTCAGCACAGAGACATTTTCCTAAATGAGTACAGTACTTTTATCACTTGTAAGGAATTTAACACTGACTTGATATTATGTATTTATACATATTATACAGTCCATGATCAAATTTCCTTATTGTTAAAAAACACTCTTTATGGCTCTTTTTGCTTTGGTTTGTCTTCCTGCTTTAGCTTCTTACAGACACATGGTGCCCTGCTCTCTCTCGGCCTGGCCACGCCACGCCACGGCAGGAGTCAGGTTAGTTCCCGGTACAGCTTTGTCTTTGGGATTTCCCACATGACCTCAGCAGCCATTTCTGCCTGTGTATGGAGCAGCTGGACCACGAAGTCTCCAAGGTGGACGGGAAGAAGCGAGCTCCTTCACTCCTCAGCCTGCTCAGCCCCGGGAGGAGCTGTGGTTGGTGGGTGGTTCTACCAAGATGTTGGCCTTAGCATCACCCGTTTGGGCGCCTGCCACCCAGTACCTTGGCAGGGTGTCTCCTTAATTAATGCAGAAGCAGTGGGGAGATCTGACCACAGTGGCAACCACAGGTGGAAGATTTTGACCAACAAGACACAAACTGGCTGACCATGTGCATGGTCACCAATGAGGCAAAGTGAACCCTGATCCTTATTCTCCTTTCTTCACAGACCCCCTCAGGAACCTCTAAGGCAGCACCTGTCCCCAATATTGGGATGTGTTTAGGGACCCACATGCAAATCCAGAAGCAATTCTCAGTTCAGTACCAATGCTACTGCCTGGGACAGCTCAACAGGCAGTATGTGACAGGAGGCACATCACACCCAGTCCCTCAGAGAGAAAACACAGATTCCAAAACCTCAGCTCGGTGCTGGCCTGGTTGTGATACACAGAAGCTGGCTCCGCAGATAGGGGGAGCAGGAGAAGCCTGGCTTTCCAGACGTCCTTCTAGGAGAGTGGACAGATAAAGAGCTGGACTGGCCAAGGAAGGCCAACACACCAGTAATGAGATGAGAAATAAAATGACCAGCTTTCCCAGGTTTGCAAAGTCATTAGCAGAGGAACTGGATCAGGCTGGGAGGGAAGTGGGAACGGGCTGCAGGAGTCACCTTCACTGAGCGAGCGCATGCACGGCTCAGATCCAGCATGGCCCTCCCTGGCTGCTCTAATGGCCAGCAGTGCCCAGCTCCCTGGAGGTCAGCAGAGAGGGCAGACTCAAGTCCAAGCCCTGAGAAACCCTGCAAAGAAGGTACATGATATTCTGGGAAAATTCCTGTTCAAAAAGGTAGAAGGCAGCTGGGCTGTCTCCCTGGGCAGGAGGGTGAGCAACACCTAGGGGTGGGACGGCGGATGGTGCTTCTGCCCTACTGCTGAGGCCTTACTGGATTTCTGTTCCCATTCTGTCACTGTCTCTGTGACACAGATGCCCCATTAGAACTTTCTCTAGTTCTTCTCCCTCTTCCAACTTCACTAGAGATTGAAACAAATCCGTAAGAGCCCTTGAGAACGAAAAGACTGAACAAGTGTCTAAGGCAGGCTGGTGTCAAAGGACCTCACAGTGAGACCTTTGCTTCTCAGGAGAGCTGAGAAGCCACGTCTTCTCCTGAGCCCGGGGCAGAGAGAAGCCAATTCAGACTTGGCACACACCCAGGTCAGGGTCCTGCACCAGTGCTTTAGCAGCAGAGTCCTCTGGCACTGGTAATCTACCACGCAGTCACATCCTTCAGTGAGGGACTCGGTCTGCTCTACCACCCACACCCTTCACCCGATCCCAGCCTCCACGACACTGGAGCACCAGGAACCCTCCTCCTGTCACTCTGGACACCTGTGCCTCCTACTCCATGTGGGATTTCCAAGAAAAAAGGAATGAATGGACAACGCCAGGCAGCTTTCTAGGGGTAAAATGAAGCTTTAAGCATGAAATGCCTCTGGTCTTCTTCACAATGCCTGAACACAACTAGCTACTCACTAAAAAAGCCCAAGAGGAGACCCCGTTCACATCTCTCTTCTCGGGCCACTGGGCTGTGCTCGTGCTGGAAGGAGGGCACTCACTTTCCACGCTGGCTTTAGACTGGCTTTCCCTCCACCTTGTCAAAGACCAATGGAGCCAGAGGATGAAGTCCTCGGCCCTCCCGAAGCCCCACGCTGACTGGACCTACCCACCTCTCGCTTGGACTTCTGGGAGGACCGCTCGAGGATATCGTCACTGGAGAGGTCGGAGTCCTCTGAGAAGCTCAGCTGGCGCCGGAGCTGCAGCTCTGCAGGGACAGAGAGAAGAGGCAGCGCAAGGACGGTGAGCAGCCCACGCGCCACAGTTGCTCCCATGTCCTCCTTCACGTGAGCAGCCGGGGAGGTCAGGGAAAGAGGCCTGACCTCTTTTCAGTTTAAGTGATTCTCCTCCCACACTGGAGAGCCAGAAGCTTGAGTGCTGGCCCTTGTCTAGGCAGGGGCGGGGCCAGCACTAAGCAGATGACATACATGCAGGACAGCTGCTCAGGGCCTCCAGGCAGGACTGCCCTCTGCCCCACTCAAAACCAGGGGCAATTTGGGGTAATATGGCTATAGGAAGGGTACAAACCTCCAAAGTCTCCCTTGCCCAATTGCAGGTGGGTTTTTAGAATTATTTTATTGAGTAGGAATATGCTCTGTGAACCCCTGGTTCAGTCCCTTCCCTCTGCCCTGCCTGCACAGCACCTAAGAACCCCCAGGGAGCAGCACGTGGAAGGGGCCTTTAGAGAACAGCCTTCTAGCCCCAAGTGGCTAGAAAGTGCAGCCTACATCCTGTCCCACAAGGGCCCCCTGCTGCTGCCACACCTGCTCTCATGATGGGAGATGTCCTGGCCTTGCCGGAGCCGTCCGTGGCACCACTGGAAGGGGTACTGGAGCAGGATTTGTCATCGCCCTTCGTCTTCTTGTCCCTCTTGTACCCGGAGAAGACCGACTTCCACAAGGACCTAGGCTTGGCAGCTGCCTCCTCCAGGAGGTGTGGGCTGGGCTTCTCTGGGGTCCGGCCCTCACCTTTAGACTTCTTCTCCTTCTTATTTCTGCGTGGGGAGAAGAGGGATGACCTCTTCTTGCTCTTTCCACTGGAACCCTCAGAGGAGGTGACAGAACCGTCTGGGCCTCCTGAGTCCGATGGAGGGGAGATGACCTCCTTGCTGGTGGCTTCATGCTTCAGGGCAGGCTCCTTAGAGCCTTTGAGAAATGGGCGTTTGGGGGACTCAGACCCAAGTTCCTTGCCCTGAGAGGGCACCGAGGATGCCTTGCGGGGCCTGGGGGTCCCCACAGCCATCTGCATGCCCTGCATCCTGCTCAGCTGCTTGGCCATGGCGTCCCTCAGCACCTGGCTCTTCACAGACTTCTCCCTGGCCCGCATGCGCTCCTCAGCCAGCTCCTTGGCTTCTGGGGAGACCAAGGGCAGCCCCCTCTTCTGCAGTTGGACCCCACCCTCCAGAGCAGGCAGCCGACCATTCTCCTTGGCCAGAGGTGGCTGGAGGGGTGTCTCAGACCGGAGCCAGCAGGACGGGGGTGTGAAGAATCTCTCCTGCAGACTTGAGTCCTCAGTCCTGTCCTCGTAGGTGTCCTCCACGTCATCAGCAAAGGGGATCTCATCCACACTCTCCACAAAGGACTTCCGCACCTCCTCTCTGGGGGGTTGTGCAGGCTCTCGGGGGGGCCGCATGACCACGGCAGGTGGGGCTGGCGGGACGGCTGAGGCCTTGGGCTCAGCCTCCTTCTGCCTGCTTGGTGGAGGTGGCTTCCTCTGGAGGGTGGCAGGCTCCTCGCCTGGGGGTGGGGGTGGGGGTGGGCTG